TATATACCCGGGGGTATTTACCCAAGATGAGTATTTAGAGGTATTTATAAAATTTGATTTAAATTGAGTTGATGGCAGTTTTGCAAGTACTTCAAGAATGCAGAGGCCATTATCGATACACCAAACTTATTTATAACATTTACAAGAATGCTACATTGGCGGTAAAATTGCATGAAAGTACTGACCGAATACCCATTGGGCCCAAATAAGACAAGCGATATAATGTTGAACCCAAATTGTTCATCACAGTCCTGGAGAGTGCATTTAAACAACTGGATTGGACCCAAAAAGGTATAAACATTGATGGCAATACCTAAGTAATTTGCGCTACGCGGACGATATAGTCCTTATTTCTGATAGTCTTGGAGAGATGAAACCGATGCTGAACATAAACAGGAGGCGTGTGCAAGAGTCGGGCTAAATATCAACAAAATTTAGGACAAATCTTGTTCCAAACTCTAATATCAATATTGGTGATAATGAATACTTCTATCTTGAATACTTTCGATGGTATGTCATTAACCTGATGCCTTTCCATGTTTTGACGTAGTGATTGCGTTTTGAACCTCACTGATTGATATAGGTTCCATGACACTATCCTTTCTTTAGTGTGATGGACTGCTGTCTATTTCCAAATCAGTTTCTATGCTTCATAGGTTTTGGAAATAATTTTTCCAAATGTCATTCACTTCATTCTCACATATTATTTTTCCTGTTCCATCTCAGCATAGACTGTGTGCGCTTTGTGCCTCTGTCTTAACTGTCTAACAAATTTATACACATTCCTGGTATTATTATCTTTAAAGTGTACATATATTTCTGGAATGTTTCTTTAGAAGATTTCTTTAATGCTTGAAAAACAACTTTGAATGTCCTGAATTGAGTATAAGTCTAATATCAATAACTAAATTCAGTTTTTGTGCTTCATTAATTCTTGTTGTTTGATTCTTTTCTAGTCATATTGCACTTCCATCAAATCCAAGATTCCAAGATCCATGAGATTGTTGATTTCCAATTTTAAATTAAGTAGTTCGTTTAAGATCTTATTATTCTTCTTCTTTTATTCAGGTTGTAACCTGTTTACGCATCATTCATTGTGTTTCATTAGAGCTGGAAATCCAACTTCCTGGTCTCCCGAGATCTCTTTCTAGCTAATCTTTGGTCTCTTTTGTCTTAATCAGCCAGGTTTCTTCCATTCTTTGGAAGTATTCATAAAATTTTTTTATTTCTCCCCTAGCAAATCTCATGACATATCCGAATCCACAAAATTCTCTTACAATTTTGTTCCTAACTCTATCTTTTCTTGTCTTTTCCACTATTGTTCTTAAAGTACTCATCTCAGTTGGTTCGCATCGCAGCCATATATCTTGGCCATGAGGTTCGTGTATCGAGAGATAATAATCAAAGGCAGCCTACAGGAAACTTAGAGACATTTTCATGGGCGATATTCCTGTATATTTGAAAAGAAAGGCTGTCAATCAATGCGTGGTTCCTCCTTTGGTTATGATATACGGTTCCGAAACTTTAACATTAACGGTGGCCATTACCAGGAGGCTCAACGTAACGCAAAGAAAGATGGAGAGGTCGATACTGGGTGTAACCCTGAGGGACCACATACGAAATGAAGACCTACGAAGAAGAACTGGCGTAAATGATGCGGTCAACATTGTGGCAAAGCTCAAGTGGAACTGGGCGGATCATCGTCGCAAGAATGAAGAATGAGCAGTGGTTACCTGATTATAATACGTCTTCGATCGTTGACAATTCCTCGTCTTCAACGCCCATTTCATCATGTTCCTCTACATTTTTGTCCGAATCTGTTATATTTTTACTTTTATATGTACTGTTTGGGTATTTACCCTGGGCCGATGTAAATTCCCAGATAAATACCCATTTTATAAATACCTACTCGCCGGGTATTTACCAAGCGCCCATCACTGCTACTAGGACATCACAAAGCTCTATTCTAAGTTTCTGGTTCAAGATATATCTATTATTATAAAGCAATTTTAAGGTGGAATAGGCTCTCCGTAGAAGGGACTTGACATGCCCATCGAAGCGAAGACGTTCATCAATAATGATCCCCAAATTCCTGGCATCACTCTCAAAACCGAGCGCCTTGCCAGCCACGTCCAAATGCATGTTGGATTTAACAAAATCAGTAACCAAAAACCATAACTGAAGATTTTGAGGTATTTATTTGAAGACAAAGCTTACTAGCAAATTGTCCAACACTGCGTAAACCATGATTTATATTGGTTTCAGCAGTCTCAAAATCGCACATGTTAAAAGAATAAAGAAGCTGAGTATCATCCGTATATATGTATGGAGTACAATGATTTAAAACATTAGTAAAGCCAATAGTGAAAATCAGATGCAGAAGAGGCCCCAAAGTAGAGCCCTGAGGGACACTGGATAAAATTTCAGCGGGGTTGGATCTCATACCATTAAACGCTACAACCTGCTTTTGCTTAGACAAATAACTTTGTATAAAATAAATTGAGTCCAAAGATAAACCAACGTAATGAAGCGTAGCTAACAGAGTGTCGCGGTGAATTCCATCAAACGCCTTGGAAAAATCCAAAAGTACCAAGATCAACACCCGTTTGTTATCAATTGCTCTCAGAACCTCATCCGTAACCCCCAGCAATGCAGTAGAGCTACTAAAACCCTCACGGAACCCAGACTGACAACTGGGCAAAATTCCAAAATCATCAATCGGCCTCAAGTCGCTCAACTCACTAGGATTGGTAGTCTTAGGTATTGGAGTCACCAAGGCACACTTCCAGGCATCAGGGAAAACCGTATGCTCTATAGAACAATTGACAACATGGCACAAGAAGGGTAATAATTGGACAACACAATAAAATCATTTTGGTAGTTCTGCCATCAGCACCAACTGCATTAGACTTTAATCCCCTTAGAATGCTAAGAATTTCCGATTCAGTTGCAAGAGAGAAGGTAAGTTTTTCTGTGACTTGGGGAAGCGAGTCCCAGTAAAACTCGATTAACTCTGCATTCCCAGCCGAGTTAGTCAGTTTTTCCTCGTATTAATCCGTTATAGCGAGGTTTTACTGTAATATCAAATTATATTGACATGTTGCGAGAGGGGGGAGAGGGGAAACGATGGATGAGAATGGTTGTGGGGGTGAGGAGACAAAGGGATGGATGAGGAGATGAGGATTCCGATGGTGTGGAAATGGAGGAACAGGGTAGAGGGTGAAAATAATATTTTAATAATGTAAAGAATTGTAGAATTTTAGACAGATTGTTGTATACAATAAACTCTTAATTGTATTGACATGTTGCATTTTATGTAGGACAAAGTAAATAGGTTCGCCCTGGTTTCTATGGAAATATATTTTTGCATATTACATCTTAAGTGAAATTCACTGTATAAAGTGAAATAAGAAAACAATAATAATTTTTAAGTTTTATGGACACCATTGAATGCTACCTATTTTTTTTATTATTTAGCACCATTTTTATAATCATAACAATTAATAATGCTTGTTGACCAACAACTTGTGTGATGGAACAAAAATAATGATGGAAGCTAAAATAGAAGCAGTATTCTAGCAGTTTATAACCAGTAAGTCACAAAGTGCAAAAGAATTAACTGTATTTCTTCCTGTCATTTTGCATTGCGTTTTTCCACCAGAATATAATAAGTGCTCCACCACTTTTCTGGCTTTATGTTCTCTGTTTTTGATTTCCGTCTGGTCAATACTAATTTTGTCGACAATGCCCAATTATTTAGATTGTTCTAAATACTTTAATTGGGCATCACCGGGAAGTATTCAGTCCTCACAGTGCTTTTTCAAAATAAACTCCATGGCATATGCGTACTGTGTTATAATTGCGTGGTCGTCAGCGAAGCTCAATTTATAATATGTGTTGTTAATCGGAGTACCTTGGCATCAACATAAGTATTTTTTTAAATCTTTTTTATCATTTTCTATTTTGTAACTCCCATTATATTTAACACACGATATTTATTTGGGATACTATTTTTAAAAGACTTCATAGAAAATAGACTATTTTTAATTTAAACTCCCCATGGGTTTGTTCACCTCATAAGTTGTTTTGTCGGTATTTGAGCCCACAGACAAGAACATCATTCCATCATTCCAGACATTTCTAACTGTACCTGCATAACGTTTTGCTTGTTCAACAAGGAAGCAATAAAAATGTTTAGTGACAAATAGTTCCGGTAAGTAATTGCATCAACACGCTTAAAAATCTCTCTTTAACCAAACAACTAAAATATCAAAGATTAAACTTTAATCTTTATTTCGCCGTCGTAAAAAGTTCAAAGTTATTGCACTGTGAAGTCAGGTTTATTTTTAGAGAATATCGTAAACACATATGGAATTTTAAACACTTTTTCTTTCTTAGAATTTTTTTTATATATTATTTCTAAATAGAATAATATTTATTAATAAATACTAATGAAGCCTTTTAATATTGATTAATCAATGTACGTCCGCAAAACAATTTTGCATACAAAACACCACCCTAATGATTAAATGAATGAATTAACATCACACCATTAGCTCCCACCGGTTAAATTATGTATGCAATAGCTGAGCTTTGAATACGCAATTGACCGGATTTTCTTTCCATATAAAGGATAAAACTTAAATGGGGTTGTGAAATTCGTAGTCTGGTATTGAATCAACACATGAGTCATCACTATCGATTCGACCGTTCTCTTTCCTTTATTATTGGATACCATCAAAGAAAGTTTTATTCTTTTAGCCAAATCGAAATAAAAATATTTATCTCAGATTATAAACTCACGATTAATTTATAAGATTACATAAACATCAAGACAACCAGACCGATTAATTATTGAGAATTTTTCAATCTGATTAGTTTCCATTCACTGAATTATTCAAGGTTAAATTCATTAGATACTTACCGATTAATTTTTAGAAATGAATTTTTTTTAATAGGAGAAAGGGTTGGAAATAAAAATTTTCATTAAAAGATTTAAATCAAAGGCAGCAACTTTTTAATGCCTAAATCTTTTCACTCAAACAAAAGATGCAAAAAAAATTTGTTATAAATAATAAAAGACTATAGCACTGGGGAAAATAGAGAGAATAAAAAACGTATATAGAACTGATCCAAAAACAAAGTCAGTCTTGATAAGTTAAGTAATGTATTCAATTTACAAAGGAATGTAAAGACTGTACAAAAACATACGCATGTATAATTCGCGAACGATACAGAGTAAAAAATATTATTAAGCGATTTCAGATCAAGTGCGATGTTAAAATGAACCCAAATTAATTTTCATCTACTTCAGCCTCTTGTTCTTCATCGAATTCAGCGTCTTCGTCGGCGGTAGCTTCTTGGTATTGTTGATATTCAGAGACCAGATCGTTCATGTTGGATTCAGCTTCAGTGAATTCCATTTCATCCATACCCTCACCAGTGTACCAATGCAAGAAAGCTTTTCTGCGGAACATAGCGGTGAATTGTTCGGAAATACGTTTGAACAACTCTTGGATGGCAGTGGAGTTACCAATGAACGTCGCGGACATTTTCAATCCTCTTGGTGGGATGTCGCAAACGGCAGTCTTAACATTATTAGGGATCCATTCTACGAAGTAGCTGCTATTTTTGTTTTGAATGTTGAGCATTTGCTCATCAACCTCTTTCATGGACATTCTTCCTCTGAATACGGCGGCGACTGTAAGATATCTTCCGTGTCGTGGATCACAAGCTGCCATCATGTTTTTAGCGTCGAACATTTGTTGGGTAAGTTCAGGTACTGTAAGGGCTCTGTATTGTTGGCTGCCTCTTGAGGTTAATGGTGCAAATCCTGGCATGAAGAAATGAAGACGCGGGAATGGCACCATGTTGACTGCGAGTTTTCTAAGATCGGCGTTTAATTGACCAGGGAAACGTAAACACGTGGTTACGCCAGACATTGTAAGTGATACCAAATGATTCAAGTCTCCATATGTTGGGGTCGTTAATTTCAAAGTTCTAAAGCAGATGTCGTAAAGGGCTTCGTTATCAATGCAATAAGTTTCGTCGGTGTTTTCTACTAGCTGATGTACTGAAAGTGTGGCGTTGTATGGTTCTACTACAGTATCTGAGACTTTTGGAGATGGAACAACTGAGTATGTATTCATAATCCTATCTGGATATTCTTCCCTGATCTTAGAAATCAACAATGTTCCCATCCCAGATCCAGTTCCACCCCCTAATGAGTGTGTAAGTTGGAATCCTTGAAGACAATCACAGGATTCAGCTTCTTTCCTGACTACATCTAATACTGAGTCTACTAATTCAGCACCTTCCGTGTAATGACCTTTAGCCCAATTATTTCCAGCACCAGATTGCCCAAAGACAAAGTTATCTGGGCGGAAAATTTGTCCGAATGGTCCGGACCTAACCGAATCCATAGTTCCTGGTTCCAAATCGACCAGGATCGCACGTGGTACATATTTTCCTCCAGAAGCTTCATTATAATAAACGTTGATTCTTTCTAATTGAAGATCTGAATCTCCATGATAAGCTCCTGTTGGGTCAATGCCATGTTCATCAGAAATAATTTCCCAGAACTATAAATTTAAAAAAGAAGAAAACAAATTAAAATAATTTAGAATACAAATTAAAATGAATAATGTAATTAATTAACCTAATTTCTCGCAACGTTTTTATCTAAAAGGACATCATGCTGTTCACATGCAAATGAATGGATCGGACTGTGGTTTAATCATAGCTAAAAATAGCCCAGAAAATAAATTGAAATAATTCCAGTTGCGATAATATTAAGTATTTTAGTAATAATAATTTAAATTGACTAATCAATAATGAGTGGATATAACAATTTAAATTGTGATAAAGGAATTTTGAATGATTGCTTAAATTTTTTGATAAGAATTATATTATTAAATTATTACGAAGGTACTATCAAGAAGTGTTTTGAAAAAGTATTTGACATTTTTGGTGAAGTGTTGCAACTCCCTTCAATTCTAGTTCTTGGTCTAACACTGCACAACTATTAAAACTAGAACATTAAACCTAGAAAGTTTCGGTCTAGGTCTAGTGTTCAGAGATGGATTAATCAGTAGGCACTTGAGGCACACGCCTCAGGACGCTGCACCTACAAAGGTCCAGTTCTGATTTTATATTGCATAGGCATATAATATACATAATACTTAAATGGTAATATTAGACTTTTTTGGGGCCCACAAAAGGTGTGATCCGGCCCTGCTTGCGTTAGTTCCAGTTTTACACTAGCACTGTTACTATGTAGAACTAACCCTATACCTTTGGGTTTAGCTGCACGATTCTAAAGATGGCTAAACCCGAAACTTTCTAGTATTAGGTCTAGTCTTAGTTCTAGTTTTACACTAGCATTGTTACTATGCAGAATTAACACTATCCCTAGAACTAGAATCATTTGGGTTTAGCCGCACGTCTCTAAAGACGGCTAAACCCGAATAATTCTAGTTCTAAGTACAGTGTTAGTTCTAGTTTTACACTTGCACTGTCACTAGAACTAACATTAGACCTAGAACTAGAAACATTTGAGTTTAGCCATACGTCGCTTAAGATGGCTAAACCCGAATGATTCTAGTTCTAGGTTTAGTGTTAGTTCTAGTTTTGCACTAGCACTATAACTAGAACTAACACAAGACCTAGAACTAGAATCATTCGGGTTTAGCCGTCTTGAGAGACGTGCGGCTAAATCCGAATGTTTCTAGTTCTCGGTCTAGTGTTAGTTCTAGTTTTACACTAGTACTATCACTAAAAGTAACACTATTCCTAGAACGAGAATCATTTGGGTTTAGCCGCACGTCTCTAAAGACGGCTAAACCCGAATGATTCTAGTTCTAAGTACAGTGTTAGTTCTAGTTTTACACTTGCACTGTCACTACAACTAACATTAGACCTAGAACTAGAAACATTTGAGTTTAGCCATTCGTCTCTTAAGACGACTAAACCCGAATGATTCTAGTTCTAGGTCTAGTGTTAGTTCTAGTTTTGCACTATCACTAGAACTAACACAAGACCTAGAACTAGAATCATTCGGGTTTAGCCGACTTGAAAGAAGTCCTTTCAAGTTCTAGGTCTAGTGTTAGTTCTAATTATACACTAGCACTATCACTAAAACTAACACAAGATCTAGAATCATTCGGATTTAGCAGTCTTGAAAGACAGGCGGCTAAACCCGAATGTTTCTAGTGTTAGTTCTACTTTTGCACTGCAAGTGCTAATTCTATTTTAAAAATATACAAATTTAAGAAAATTGATGCATTTTTGTTAACAAGTGTTCACTTCAAACATGGCATCCAAAACGTCAACCATTTTTTCAAGACACACAGCTTAACCCAAAAAGTTTTAGTTCTAGCTCTACTGTTAATTCTAGTGATAGTGCTAGTATTGTTCTAGTTTTAATCCATTATATCATAAACTTTGCAATAATATTAAAGATATTGTTATTAAAAGAAAAAGAGAAATTTAAAATTTTTCATTAAAGATATGCAAATGAGTAGCGGTAAAATTCGCAAAGATCTGAGTTGGCCTCGAAGCCTGTGCATCTCCGTACATTGAACTTAAAGTTCACGGTACAGAGCTTTCCCAAGCGTAACGAAGTTCGCAATCGACCCCATTGGGTGCGGTCTTCTCACCAGACCGAGGTTCGCGATCGATTTTGCATCACCCTCTTGGTAACATCTCTTAAAACAATTTCTTTTCAAGCGAAATCAAAAAATATTAAAAAAGAAAGCTTAAAACAAAAAAAAGTTTCAACTGTTTTAATTCAAATTTAATTTGAATGTAACGGTTTTTTTATGACACATCTTTAGTTTAATTATAACTCGATTCGACTTCATTACAATGTTTATAAATAAACGTGATTATATCTTATCTAATATGTTATTCTTTCAGTTATCATTTTTTTGTTATCAAAGTAATAAAGGTGATGAGGTAGGAAGAACAAAATGGCCGGCCCCACGCCGACTGCCGGTAAATGAAATTATCGACCGTAAAAAATGAAGTTGAAAAAAATTTGGTAAGAAAATTTCAACTTACTTTAGCTCCAATCTGGTTTCCGCATTGACCGGCTTGAATGTGTACGATTTCCCTCATTTTTCTGGATTAAAAATTTGCTTTTGGACTTGATTGTAGAAAAACACTAACGTCTTGCACGCAGTGACCAAATCTGAAATGAATCGGGTCGGCGACGAACTGAATTTATAGGGTACCCCACTGCCCAGAAAAGACCGTTGCACACCCAACCAAAATGTTCAGAAGAGGCGGTTACCGGCGCGCTCCTTTTTAATAATCGAATTCGCCCTCTGCAGTTCCGCCTGCTTTTTTAATAATACTAACACCAACAAAAATAGTTTTCGATCGAAATAATTATTTATTAAAGATTAAAGTAATTCAAAAATTTCCAAAAGCCTTTTTTAACATTCAAGAAGAAATTGTGCAGGTGTAACGGACTTCCGTATTCCTACTGGGCATTGATCGATACCCTCTATGCGGATATTACTCATTCTTAATTCTTAACATCATCTTCCCAATATAATTATGGACAATCAAAAATAATGTTTAGATGATAAGAATTTTAATTGATTAATAACAATATTACGTTATCAACTTTATTGATTTGTTATGCTGCTAAAAAGAATAATCATAAAATTTTGATATCCATTATCATTAATATTGTTGATGATTCAACTAAGATTATGGTACATATAAATAGTGCAAATATAATAAAAGTATTATTTGTTTCTTCGCCCACTAAGAATAGGCGGGTATTGGGAAGTTTTAGAGGGCTAAATTAGGCAGGAAAAAACCATATGGTGACTGAACACAAAATTATCAGCTGTTCCAACACCTGGTGTTCGTGATCTAATCGTTAAAAAAAATTTCGTAAATTCATTTAAAAATTAAATTAAACTTTATCATATTATTAGATATTATTGGATTTTTAATTTGGTATTCTATAATTATCCTATTTGTTCTATTTTGTTCCAAAATGGAACGTTGCCTTCAAAAACCGTTACATTTATAGAAGAAAAAAATATTGCCAATGTTTATAAAATACCCCCAAAAATTTTATGAGTACTTTGAATTGTTAAGCATTGATGCCCAATAACATGAGACTCCTTCCAGATGCTAAACTCTTCTTTGCTTAGAAGTTTAAACTTGATAAAAAAACAGATTAAATATTATACCCATTTTTATTAATGATTAATGAAGTTAATGCTTATATGGTAAACATGATCGTAAGAGAGAACGAAATAAGTAAAGCGAAACAACAAAAAGCTCCAGGCCCTGGAGACATTCAATTCAAGTTCATCAAACACAGCCCAGAAGTAGTGAAGGAAGCCTTAGCAGGGATTTTCACAGAATACCTGCAAGGGGGGAACATGCATACCAGACAAGTGCACTAAGTATAAAAACTAAGTAGTTTTAGGGATAGTGGATCATGCATGGACACATATTCTGTTTGAGACAATTAGTAGAACAACACTATGCCAGGAATTGGAAAACAAATTTAGTCTTCTTTTTGTAGTGTTAGACAACACAAACATAAAATGATTCCGATAAATGTACTGGACCAATAACATGAGGCTCCTTCGAGATGCCAAAGACTTCTTCCCGGAGAAAGATATTGCCCGGAGAAGACAATATCTTTCCTGCTTTGCTACAGCAAGGAAGGTCACTGTTGTTGCCTATTTTGGTAAAAATCTTCAGAGCAAGTGTCGCCTGGAAACATCTACCGGCAGAATGGACTAATAAGTTCGGTCCCTACTCCTAATGCCTTTCGATCCATCAGCCTAACGTCATTTCTGTTGAAAACCCTAGAAAAAGTTCTAGAACGTTCCGTACGGTGCCATTGGTTTCTGGTCCACTGAGTCGCCACCAGTGTGCTTATCAACCGGGAAAATCAGCAAAATTGGCTGTACACAACTTAGTTGGAACGCTGCAGGATAAAGAAATCTTGGTTTGTGCGTTTCTGGATATAGAAGGAGCGTTCAATAACGCAATACCATAATCTCTTGAAAGAGCTGCTCTTGACACGGGAGTGGAAGCAACTATAGCGGGTTGGATCCGCAATATGCTAGATAGTAGAATAGTTTCTACATCACTCCACGGTGATACGATACGCTCCAGGCCGGGAGATGGCTTCCCGCAGGGAGGGGTATTATCTCCCCTGCTTTGGCCCCTCCTGGTTGACGATCTAATTGCGATAGTTGAAGCCATTGTTGTAGAAATACAAGCTTATGCTGATGTAACACTATAACATTGTTGTTATAGTCAAAGGAACCTGTATGTCGAGGATATCTAAAGTCCTCCAGGTGACCCTAGATACCATTAGCGCTTGGTGTAAGGGAGAGAACCTCTCGATAATCTAGGAGTAATCCTAGACAAAACCCTGTCATGGAATGGACATTTGCAGGGAGTTTTGCATAAAGCTAGACTATCCTTGTGGACTTGTCGCAATCTTTGTGGAAAAAATTGCTCCTGAAAGACTTTACTGGCTCTATATGACTGTGGTTAGACCTATGATCACATACGGAGCAGCAGCCTGGCATAGGAATGTCCGACAGACTTCAGCTATCAGTAAACTTTCACGAATTCAACGAGTAGCTGGCAATCTCTGATGCGATAAGCACAACGTCAACTCTAGCAATGGAGGTTCTGCTTGGTCTATCTACTCTGCATTTGCATATAGAGAAAGTGGCTAGAACAACCATTTACAGATTTAAGCAATATGCTCAAAACTGTTCCGACATGTCCTACCAATGGGCTGCGGAAGACATTATAAGCACTGATACTGTGCTATCAATGCCGTCAAATTTGGCGGAATCACTATCAGTGATTAATGTTCGATACCAGATTGTACTGCTTGAGCGGCAGTCCTGGATTGAAAATGAAAATTCTCTGGTTCAGGCAGACAATTGCTTGTTCACAGATGGATCAAAAACGTCTGAAGGGGTCGGACCAGGAGTATACTGCCAGACACCTCGAATTAAGCAAGCTTGCTTAATATACTTAATATACATATAATAGCCTGGGTACGTACTGTACTGTATTCCAGGCCGAAGTATTTGCTATTGACATGGGTGCTAAAATCCTTCTTGAAAGAGGGGTGAAGAACATGACAATACGAATTTTCTCAGACTCTCCAGGCGCTGCAAGCCGTGATAACGGTGTCCTCTCTGGTTAAATATTGTAAGAGAACATTAAACACACTGAGTTAACTGAGTTGTGATAACAGAGTTTCTCTGATCTGGGTCCCAGGTCACTCTGGGGTTGTTGGCAATGAAGCGGCAGATAAGCTAGCACGAGAGGGCAGCGCCGAAGCGTTTGTGGGGCAGGAACCAGCAGTTGGTGTATAGGATTTCCAAATATAGGATTGGACTGTGGGCTGAAGAGAGACTTCGCCTACTGTGGACCAGTTATCCTGGAATGAGACATGCTAAGGTGTTTATTAACATCGCAATTGTCAAACCCGGGATTTTTTTAGGACTTGCCCATAGTAGCATAAAAGGGTTTTTACTGGGCCCTGCCGATTAAAAGCACACCTCAACTTGTTGGGTTTAGCCGACGATGTTGAATGCCGACTATGTGCGGAGGAAACAGAGACGGTTGAGCATGTTTTATGCCACTGCCCTGCCATTAACCGTATCAGATTCTCGATTTTTGGGTCGCAGTTTATCTCCTCAAAGGATCTGAATGAACTTTCATCGGGCAAGGTATTAATGTTCGTTAAGAACATTGGACAAATGATTGTGAAATTTTGGGTACAATAGATCCTTAGGGTCGCAGTGCAAGGTTGGGTGGTCCGCCTACCCGATATGTATTCCGTGTAACGTAATGTAAGGTAAAACTACTTACTATTAAATTCCCAATTAAATATCAGAGGAAGAAAAAGTACGAAACGATTACACTTGGGTTCTAAATCAGCTTAAACGTCATAAGCTTGGACGTCATGTCCAGAACAAATATTTAATCAAACGACAAGGTAGCAAAGTATCTGCAAAAGTCTTTCTAATGATGAATGGATGTTGTCCTTTCTGCTTATTAACCTTTTTGATCAAAGCCACGCTACCTACTATGACAAGATTTTCCAAATCCAAACAAGAAAACACCATGTCACACAGGAAAGCAGGGTTTCCACGCACAGCCACGAACGGAATAGGAATCGGAAAAAAACCTTCGAAGGAAAAACGAGCAGTCTTAAATACATAGACTCTTCAACTCCATAAGAAGCCTATGAAAGCTATCATCAACTACTATCCATGAAACTATCATCATCGCCATCAAGGATCAAGGTGCAACTTTATATGGATGGGTGCCATAAAGCAAAGAACCCCAACCTGATACAGTTATTTAAGCGAATCTACAAAACATCTTGCTAATCTTGACTAAAACTAAATTCTAACTCTGGTTCTTAACTCTGTTCCAGAAAGAATTCTATTTTTCCTACTTTTCTGTGTGAAGAATGATTCACCCGATGCAGGAGAGTACTCGATTACCAGCGGAATTGATTGATCACCAGAGTCTGAAAGTGCTATAGGATCCTTCACAAATGTTTTTCTTATTCAAGAAAGAAGAAATGAAGGTTTCTCCAAGCATTAATATAACAGAATGATTTTTACATCTTTTATTTGTTTCTATATCTATTTATTAGATCGTTTCAGATCGATGATTAACAAAATGTTTCAGTCCCGCCCAGTCTGAGTCGGTCAAATCGCCTTCAATTTGTAACTAATTTAATTAGAGAATTGTCGTCGCAGCCGACCGACTCCAATTTGAACACAGAAAAAGGTATATAAAAGCTGACGTCACTTTTCCCAAAACGAACTACATCGGAGGTTCATTGATTGAAATATAAAAACACGTAGGATGGGATATAGAGTGGCCTTCAAGGTCTATTGTTTGTTCCCCATGGCCCATTAGAAGTGGGCGACGTGCTGTCTTAACAAATAATAAAATAACTTCTCGTGAAATATCGATTTAAAAACTTATTCTTCCTACACGGTAATTTTTTTCCATTTGCAGGCTGTAATGAAAAAATTAAAATTCAATTGAAGTTTTTCGAGGAATTCTTTATTTATCCGAACAATCGACGGAAGGAGTAAAACTCATAGAAGAAGTGAAAGCACATTAAAACGATTGTAACCAAGAGCGGAATAAAAATCAACGTTTGTTTTGCTTATTCCCATGAA